AACCATGACGACGTGGAGGAAGTCATCCCGCAGCACCGGCACGACATCATTGTTTCCGGAATTCAACTTCTCGGGCTCCACACCGCCACGTCAACGGCGCCGCGTGTCATCGAGCCGAAGAATACGCGCCAAGCACTCACGGGACCACACAGCAAGGAATGGAGCGAAGCGATGGATGCGGAAATCAAGGCACTTGAGTCCCGCGATACCTGGGTGCTCGTCAATCGAGCGGCAATCTAGGGGAAAAGGATTCTCTCCGGGAAATGGGTCTTCCGCGTGAAGACCGTAGCGGACGGCACAACTGAACGATTCAAGGCGCGCTGGGTCGTACGTGGCTACGACCAGAGGCACGGCATCGACTTTGACCAGACGTTTGCGCCGGTCAGCCGTCACACCTCTGTCAGAATTCTCCTCGCCATCGCTGCCGCACGACACCTCCCCCTCCGACAGATTGATGTGAAGAACGCGTTTCTCTACGCGTTAGTAGATGCTGTAATCTACGTGGAGCAGCCGCACATATACGGCGAGGGAGATTCACGCGTGTGCCAGCTGTGAAATTCCCTTTACGGGATTAAACAGGCGCCAAGGCTCTGGCAGCAGTACCTGCACAACATCCTTCTCGAGATAGACTTCAAGCAGCTACCTCACGATCCCGGCATGTATCGCCACGATTTCCGCGGCGAATACATTTTACTCACGGTCTACGTCGGCGATCTCCTCTACACAGGATCGAGCAACAAACTACTTGAGCAGTTCGAGAAAAGTCTTGCAGGGCGCGACGACATCACCTGCAACCACGACGTGAAGCTGTTTCTTGGGCTCAACATCTCCTACTCAGCAGCCAAGTATGCAGAGGAACTTGGCAAGCGCTTCAACATTGCACCTGCACCACACTCCACCCCTTACTGCACTCTAGGACCCAACCACAAGCCTGAGAACAAAGCCTTGTCCTCTGCTGGGCTTCATACCTACCAGCAGCAGCTAGGATGCCTACTCTTTGCCTCTGTTACTTGCAGGCCCGATCTCTCCTACATCGCGAGCCAGTTGGCTCAGTACTCTCGCAAACCAACGGCTGAGAATCTGCTAGATCTTCAGCGGGCACTTCAATTCTTCATCTCCACGCCCAATGTTGGGCTCTGCTACTCCACCATCCCGACCTCGTCCTTCAACCTCATCGGCTACGTGGACGCTGATCATGCCGCTGACCCCGACAATCGACGGTCCAGGACAGGCGTCCTCTTCCACCTCGAGCTTAGTGGCCCCATCTCCTGGAATTCGCAGAAACAGGAGCTGGTTGCCCTGTCATCAGCGGAAGCTGAATTCATCGCAGCAACAGCAGCCATTGGCGAAGGCCTCTACCTTCAGGAGCTGCTGCAGGAGGCAAAATTTCAATCCTCGTCGAATTTTCGCCTGCACTGCGACAATCAGAGCGCGATCAGGATCGCGAACAAGCCTGGGTTCGTCAACCGCACCAAACACATCGCGTTGCGGTACTTCTTCGTCAAGGACGAAGTCGACAAGGGCAAGGTTGACCTCACCTATTGTCCGACGGGTGACATGGCAGCCGGCTTCCTCACGAAGCAACTGTCACGTCAGCAGTACCAGCACTGCTCCGAGCTCAGCGGAGTAGTCAAGCGGGCCAAGACTCGCTACGGCCAGGAGTGAAGGGGGGTGTTACGAATAGTAAAAGATGAAGCATTACTGTGCACTCCTTACCGCAGCACACACTACTGAGGCTGAAGACGAAGAGGTGGAAGTGACGCGAAGGGTCGTACGGTTACGAAGGGATCTGGACCGTCGGGCAGACAGCATTGTCAAGATAGTAGAAGGATGTGGGCTTAGGAGAAACCCTAGCCTATGTGAATGTCGAGAGGAAGGAGAGGGAGTAGCACAGAAGGATGGTTGCACTATAGAATTGCAAGTACAAATAGATGAGAAACATGCAAGGAGAAATGCACCACAAGCAGGAAATCATTATGCCTACACTACAACTACAAGCAGTTATAAAATATGTAAACATATTTCGACACGCCCCCATAATTGCTTGTATGAAGAAGTATAGTTACGCCCCCTGAAGGGGTACACCACGCGCAGTGGAAGACGGCAAGGAGGTAAATGAGGAGGAGGAGGCGAGAGAGAGAGAGAGAGAGAGAGAGAGAGAGAGAGAGAGAGAGAGAGAGGGAGAGAGAGAGAGAGAGGAGAGGAGAGGGATGAGGAGAGGAGGTGGGGGGAGCCACGCGGCGAGCCCTTCTTACTAACCCCCGTTTTACAAAGGGGGGGGGGGGGTGAGAGAGGGATGAGGAGAGGAGGTGGGGGGGAGCCTAGCGCGGCGAGCCCCTCTTACTAACCCCCGTTTTACAAAGGGGGGAGGGTGAGAGAGGGAGGTGGGGAGGTGGGGGGGAGCCTAGCGCGGCGAGCCCCTCTTACTAACCCCCTAATTCCACGCCCCCTTTCAGCCACCCCCCTCAACCTCACCCCCCTTGTCAACCGCCCCCTGGAACCTCACGCCTTCCCCCCACCCTTCCTCCAAAGCCTTCCCCACCCACGGTGGTCCCTGCTCAAGCCTTCACACGGCGGCTAGAAACCTGCCACCCCCTCACCCTCCCCCCCACAGCGGCATGTGTGGCAGTGAGAGAGAGAGGAGGAGCGGCGGCAGCTGGGTGCTCACACCCGCCACCCCAAACCCACCCCCCCACTGCTGCACGTGCAGCAGGGAGAGAGAAAGGAAGGCGAGCGGCGACTGGATGTGCAGCGTCTCTCCCGCCACGCCCCCCTCACCGTCCGTCACCCCAACCACGTCCACCTACCGTCCGCCACCCCAACCATGTCCCCCCCACTGTCCACCAACCCCAACACCTCTCCCAGTAGCAGAAGCGCAGAGGGAGGCGTGGGTGAGGCGAGAGGTAGGGTGCAAGCGCGGTTGCAGAAGGGCCGACGGCTGCAGGCGCTGCTGGCGGTCGACGGGTCCTCGGGCGACGAGGCAGGGGGCGACGAGGCTGCGGGCGATGGGTCCTCGGGCGACGTGGCCACGGGAGAAGGATCCGCGGGCGACGGTGCCTTGGGCGACGAGTCCGCGGGCGACTGGGCCGCGGGCGACGGGGCTGGCGACGGGCAGCAGTTGTTGGCGATGGCGCTGGCGCTGGCGACCGTCGCTGGCGCATTCGCGAACGCGCTGGCGGGTCGCTGGCGCTCGCCATAATGTCCGCCGCGACCGTCGCCCTGAGCGCCGTGACGAGGCAGGCGACTGGAAGGCGATGGGGGGCAGCTCGACGGGTTTAGCATAAGCTCCTGAAACAGCAGCGGATTTCGCGCCAGCAGCACAGTGGGCCGCCACGGCACAAGGCGGATTTGGTAGGCCCATGTAGAATAGCTACTATAAAAGACCACACTCTTATACCATGTCAAGATAGTAGAAGGACGTGGGCTTAGGAGAAACCCTAGCCTATGTGAATGTCGAGAGGAATGAGAGGGAGTAGCACATAAAGATGGTTGCACTATGGAATTGCGAGTACAGATAGATGAGAAACATGCAAGGAGAAATGCACCACAACCAGGAAATCATTATGCCTTCACTACAACTACAAGCAGTTATAAAATATGTAAACATATTTCGACAAGCATAAGGTAGCAGCAGTGGCAAGGATTCTGCCCAGGCAGTTTGTAACCGTGTGGAGTCGCACGGTTGGGTTTCGCTGCAATAAGGGAATGTACCCCTTAGAGTACATGGCTAGCCTATGTCGATTCGAATTCCCTTGTACTCTTATTTATATTCCTGTATTCGCATGTTATTGTCATCTCAAGCATTTTACATCCACTCTGCTATTGAGGTCAAGGGCCCACCACTACTAAGACGTGTGCGAACCTTCCTGAGGTGATCCTAGGTACAATCAACATCTGATCGCAACAGGTTGACATTCAAATGATTGCCAACCTTGGTACACCATCTCTCGTTTATATTGTTATATACCTATTTTTGCTGTATGGAGCCTCAAATTTGAACTACTTCATGATTGTGCTACTCAGAAGCAAAGCACTTAGAATCCTATAAGTATCTCTGCATTTCAACCTGTTGCACCCCCAGTTGATTCTCACCCTTGCACGTTTGATTGTTTCAAAGATGTACGAATCGCCATACGCACCCGCCCTTCTGCACGAATCTGGCACTGACGCGTCAGATTATGTTATGACACACGATTTCCTGACACCCTGGCTCAGGTTTGCCCTATGTGGATGTGTCAGGACTCAGGAGCGCCAATATTTGGCACGAGGGACTTCAACCTTTCGGGTCCCTCCCACAGGCAGGCTGCCAATATTCTTTTCTTATCCCCTTCACGATATGTCGGATATTTAAGTTGTACGGTAGCTTTCTTACCGTATATCCTTTTTTTTTACACGCTGCCATTTAATACAGACTCAACTACCGTATAAGAATTAATAGCAATCATCCTTGTAAGAATGTTCCAATGAAAGTCTTGCTTGCTGACACGGTGGAAATTCGTGATTCGCACAACAGAGGCGAGATGAAATTCTTTCTTGCTTGCTCACTACTGCAATCATGATGATGCCTTCAAGAGGCCACCCTTCTCAAAAACCAAGGGACTTAGAGACTCATGAGATTAGGTCAAAGGGGGGGGTACAAGCAAAGCGTCAAGGGATTTTCTGTACCCCCTAGCATGCAACTCACTACAGCCTATCTACTAATACAAATATACCGTAGCTTGACAACCCTCTCCCTACTCACGAGGTACTGCTGGAAGTGAGAGGTGTTGGCCGCGATGCACGACTGCAGTGCGGAGAAGGACTGAGAGAGGGAGCCTTGCTTGCTTGCTCACTGCTGCAGTCTATGATTTTCCATCTGAATCCGCAGGTGCATTCAGCAGGTCGATCTCGCCCTACTCCGCCAGATACTGCTGGAAGTGAGAGGCGTTGGCAGAGATGCATGACTGCAGTGCGGAGAAGTGCTGAAAGAGGGAGCCTTGCTTGCTTGCGCACTGCTGCGGTTAGGATTTCCCATCCGCCTCTGCGGGTGCATTCAACAGTTCACCCTCGCCCTCCTCCGCCAGGTACTGCTGGAAGTGAGAGGCGTTGGCAGAGATGCACGACTGCAGTGCGGAGAACTGGGAGACACAGTCTGAACCCTGCAGCCACAGTCACAGTCATGGGGGAGGGGATGGGATGGGATGGGATGGGATGGGATGGGATGGGATGGGATGGGATGGGATGGGATGCGAAGGCATGTGTTGCATGCAAGAACATTGGCCGAGATGCAGGTATGCAGTCCAGAGAATTGCGAGATGCAGCCCTATCCCTGCAGTCAGAGTCGGGGGAGAGCGGAAGGGGGAAGAGGAGGGAGAGGGCGAGGGAGGGGGTGGGAAGCTGCGTGTACGTGTGAGGTGCATTGGGCGAGATGCTCGAATGCAGCACAGAATTGAATGACACAGTCTGCCCTGCAAGGTGACTTTTGATTCGACCCAAAAGTTTTATGGAACCCCACTTTAGAGGCATGACTTTGCGTGGCAGCAGCTTGTTTGTTTCTTTGTTTTTTTTTTTTTTAGTAGGCTTGCTTAAAGACCTTTGTAGAAGAATAATGGTGGTTTTTTAGTCGACCCCCGTCATCTGATCCTGACCCCCCTCACCTAATCCTGATCCCCCTCACCTCACCCCCCTCCCCTCATCCCTCTCCCCTCATCCCTCCCCCCTCATCCCCCTCCCCTCATCCCCCTCACCTCATCCCCTCTCCTCATCCCCCTCCTCTCATCCCATCCACCTCCCCTCATCTCCCTCCCCTCATCCCCCTCACCGCATTACCTCCCCTCATCCCCCTCACCTAACCCCCCTTACCTCATTCCCCTCACCTGGTCCTCCTCCTTGCTGATGTAGTAACACCGGAAGCTCTCTGCAAACTGCTCCCAGCACGCCCCGTCTCTCAGCTTGTCCAAACACGGACACTCCAGGGCCCTCTGTGCCCTCTCCTCCTCACTCTCCGCCTCCCCCCCTCCGCCTCCCCCTCTCCCTCCTGTAGCTTGACTCTCCGCCTCTGGTGGGAGAAGGGCACGCCATGGGATGGATGGAAGCATAGTAGGATGAAAGATGGATACTCCAGGGCCCTCTGTGCCCTCTCCTCCTCGCTCTCTGCCTCCCCCCCTCCGCCTCCCTCCCTCCCTCCTGTAGCTTGACTCTCCGCCTCTGGTGGGAGAAAGGCACGCCATGGGATGGATGGATGGATGGATGGATGGATGGATGGATGGATGGATGGATGGATGGATGGATGGATGGATGGATGGATGGATGGATGGATGGATGGATGGATGGATGGATGGATATGGATGGATGGATGGAAGCATTTTGATGCGCCTCAAAAGTAGGGTGTAATTGGAACTGTCTTCAACTAGACCTAAGCAACGCCGATTAGCAGGATAAAAACGTGGGGGAATGCAAGCAGCAGCAACAACGAATGCGCAGATTACGAATAAGAAGCCTGCCTAGAGCAGAAGAAAGAGGGTCCAAGGCCTGATAAGGGTGCAGCGGGCGGGCATGCGTAACAAGGCTTCATGGTACTTACATACGAGAAATAGTAGGAGGTGCGAGGTCCATGGCGATCGACTCACTTAACAAAGCAAAGAAAAGGCACCTCGGGCCCTTTCAAGGGACCTGAGGAGAAGCAAAGAGAGGCAAACGCCTTTCGAATTGACTCTAATGTAGCCTTGCCCGCAATAAGAGCAGCAAAGGCCGCCTCGAGTCCTTCAGGAAACCAGATCCAGCGTCCGACCTCGTGACTCCAAGCGGACGCTGACATACTAAAGTTGCTCTGGAGGATTCTCAAATGCGTGTTTTGAGTCAACTCAAAACACGATCAAGCGTCCGACCTCGTGGTACTCCAGGACAGACTGAAGTTGCTCTGGAGGATTCTCAAAAGCGCCATGGCGAGTGACTTACCAGCAATAAGCGATGCAAATGCCGCCTCGGGCCCTTCCAAGGAGCCGGATGTAGCGTCTGGTTCGCGGGTATCTTGGGCCGGTGCGGTGGAGGGAGGTGAGGCCAGCGAGGGGGAGGACGAGGTGTCTGAGGGGCGACCCATAGTAGCAGAAGGGCGTGAAGGGGAGGCGGGGGCGGGGGAAGGGGGAGATGCGGGAGGTGCGGGGCGGGAATACGCGGGGTGAGGAGGGGAAGGCGGCGAGGGCGGAGAGGGAGGTGGCGAAGGGAAGGAGCGGAAGAGGGTGGGAGGGGGACGAGGCGGGTGGGGATGCGCCACGGTGAATCGCGGTTGGTTTCGGTGACAAGGAGTGAATCCAGGATCTGCGTCGGTGCAGAGCTAGTCTATTGATCGAATGGTGCGACGATCACGATGCTGACGTGTGGATTTGCGTCGACTCAAAGACTGCGAATCTGACGTGGCAGTGAAAGGGCGAGGCTAACGCCTCAGCGCTGGTCGACGGGAAGGGAAGGAGAGGTAAGATCGGAGGTTTGTCAGACAGGACCTCTCGGAGTGAAGATGAGAGGATGAGAAAACGGCGAAGAAGAGCGACTCGGAGAGTGCGGGCGACAATGTCGCTACGAATGCGCGGCGCGATATGAGTGAGTGGATCAGCTAGGGGACGAGATGGAGAAGAGAAGCATGGGGGGAGGCCATGCGACAGACAACGGGATGGCTTGGGGGTTGGGAATCAAAAGAAGGTTCATGGATTCCCATTACATAAATGTTGAACCTAACGAAACCGATTATAACCATGTAGAAAGCTGCCGCGAGAAGGTGTGGTGGCAGCAGTACGCGCTACTGCAATGGGGAATACACTGTATTTGTATTGTATCTGGTTAACATAATCGTAGTTAGAGAAGTCAGTCACAGGTGGTTACAGTCGAAAGATGTTTTCGCATAGTATTGGAACCCCAGCCAGTATACCGGTACGCGAAAACCATTTCGGAAGTGACGACTTTCGTCAGAACCACAAATAGTTGCAGTCATCCTTCACGCAACCTATGTTTCCCACATCCAGAAGCATCAATCGATCTCGCCTTCACCCTTGCGCTAGCTTGTAGAGCTTACATGCCGTAGAGATACATTCGAGTCCTAGAACTTAGTAGTTGTTGCCTTCCTACGCTGATACTCAGTGAATAGACGGAAGGTCTGTTCACGCACTGGTTAGAAGAGATGATTGAAGTGGTGCTTAACGACCGGTTAGGGAAGAAGATTAGGGTGAAGTGTAACGAGGATGACACTATTGGGGACTTGAAGAAGCTGGTTGCAGCGCAGACGGGGACGCGGCCCGAGAAGATTCGGATTCAGAAGTGGTACAACATCTATAAGGACCACATCACGCTCGCCGATTACGAGATTCACGACGGCATGGGTCTCGAGCTTTACTACAATTAATCGCCAGACATTTTTTTAGGCGGCTCAGAACGAGCACTTCTACGAGTGGCTAGACCATTGTCAATCGGCGATTCACGTACTTAACTGGAGGCAGTGATTGAACCTGTAGACGCACGGCGGCTGCATGCTTCTTGATGTTGTATATCTCGATTCTCCACTAGAAAAACGCTAGACCCGTCGTTCTTTCGTGGCTCGTCCATGGCCTTGTCCTGCCGTTTTTCACGGCTGTATTCGCTGCAAGTTTCTTAGCTACTTGTCACTGTGAGGGATTTATGGATTGTTTTAGTTGCTGAAAGCTGTGTGTGTCGTGCTGTTTGCAAGCTAAGGCAAACTGCCTACGTTTTTTTTAATGACGTACGATACGTCTTTAGTTGGCAGTTACCACTAGATCAATCAGCTGCTTCAAGAGCCTGTGATTTTTTTATACCAGGCATGCAAAATCTAGGCATACTTTCCAGCATGCTGTGCCAATGGACACTTAAATGTTGCCCCTGCGCAGAGCTGAAGCCCTATCTAGCAACACCCGAGTGGCTTGCGTACTCGAACAGGGGTGGGGGGTAGAACTATCAACTCTTGCTGCTGTCACAAGCTACCTCATATAAGCACAAATCCTGGCCTCTGGGCCATTCCATGCTGCCTACTGTAGCATAATGCCATTAGAGCTGAGACGTTGCCATGCCATGCTTGGAAAGCGGCTTGGATTTGAAGGGGTAGGAGTAAGAATCAAATCCTGCTGCTGGACATGTGTTCCACATGTCCCCCCAATAGCAGCATGATGTGCATGCTGTTCTTGGAGCCATTTCATGTCACCTAATGAACCACTGTGTCATCTTGAGGTTGATGTCTTGTGCTGATGTCACATGTCATGGATGTCATGGGATGATGTGATGGGATGATGTCATGAGACTATGTCATACTTGCAGGGCTGCTTGGATGGAGCGAGTGAGCGAGAGAATCTCAAAAGGCGGTCGTTCCGCTACAGCCTTGGCTGTAGCAGGGCAGGAATCCGTTATCAAGAAGTGTGCGAAGCCCTCTGATGGATTGCCTGGGGACAAAAAAAAAAAAAACAAGAGGCGACGAAATCGTCTTAGGGTTGCGAAGCGTTTTGCGTAATCATATAAATTTGTACAACTTCAAATTCTGTATATTATGCTGTAGTATGACACTAAGTGATACTTCATCAACTTGCCAAAGATGAAAAAAAATCGCATCAGCAACAATCGAACTAGAGACCTTTCGATTCCGCGATCAGCTTCAAACAACTGCGACAACTTAGATGTCCACAACGAACAACAAATTTAATTGGAACATAATCTTTGCGACGAATCTCAGACTGCGTTAGGGTTTGTTTGTTCCTTTTCTCTCCCGCTCCTCCTTCTCGTTAGTTGAGCTCCCACCAGACACACGCTCCACCTACTAGTGCAAGGTAAGAACTACCCTAACTTATCATTTTGAGCAAAATTAGATCATTACAAATTAGGTCGACTTGATTCTAACCTAGGACGACTTAGATCTAAACTAGGTCGGCTTAGATCTTGTTATAACTCATGTCTTATTTCGAAACCGTAGTTTATTGAACGCTCTCTCTATCTCTCGTTCCCTCTCTCTCATTCTCTCTTTCTCGTTCTCTCTCTCTCGTTCTCTTTCTCTCATTCTCTCCTTCTCGTTCTCTCTCTCTCTCTCGTTCTCTCTCTCTCTCTCTCTCTCTCTCTCTCTCTCTCTCTCTCTCTCTCTCTCTCTCTCTCTCTCTCTCTCTCTCTCTCTCTCTCTCTCTCTCTCTCTCTCGTTCTCTCTCTCTCTTTCTCTCTCTCTCGTTCTCTCTCTCTCTTTCTCTCTCTCTCGTTCGCTCTCTCTATCTCTCATTCTCTCTCTCTCTCTCGTTCTCTCCTTCTCGTTCTCACTCTCTCGTTCTCTTTCTCTCGTTCTCTTTCTCTCGTTCTCTCTCTCTCTCTCTCGTTCGTTCTCCCTTGTTCGTTCTCTCTCTCTCTCTCTCTCTCTCTCTCTCTCTCTCTCTCTCTCTCTCTCTCTCGTTCGTTCTCTCTTGTTCGTTCTCTCTCTCTCTCTCTCTCTCTCTCTCTCTCTCTCTCTCTCTCTCTCTCTCTCTCTCTCTCTCTCTCTCTCTCTCTCTCGTTCTCTCTCTCTTGTTCCCTCTCTCTCGTTCTCTCTCTCTCGTTCGTTCTCTCTCTCTCGTTCTCTCTCTCTCTAGTTCTCTCCCTCTCTCGTTCTCTCTCTCGTTCATTCTCTCTCTCTCATTCTCTCTCTATAGTTCTCTCCCTCTCTCGTTCTCTCTCTCTCGTTCATTCTCTCTCTCGTCCGTTCTCTCTCGTTAGTTCTCTCTCGTTCGTCCTCTCTCTCTCGTCCTCTCTCTCACGCTCTTGCTCTCCGTTGTTCTCGCTCTCCGTATTTCGTTATATTCTCTTCTTTTGTTTACTGTCTCGTTACGTGTTTTTCCCTCTGTTCCCGTTCCTTACTTTTGTTTTATGCCTTGGTACGTTCTTCTCATTGTTATTTGTCAGCACTAACCCTTCAATACTCACGGCATTTTTCTTAGCCCTTGTATTGTTTCATTCATTTCTTTGTGATTCCTTTTTCTCGTCATTTCATCACACCTCATACCCTTTTCTGTTTTATTTTTACCGACTATTTCTTTCCGATCTTCCTTTCCACTTCCTAAACCCGTTTCTCAGGAGCCTTGCTGGTCAGGAATTCGATTTCAATCTGGAAAATGTGTATTGGTCACTAATAGGGATTTATCATATTGTCCTTTTAATGTTGATTTGCATGTTATTTATTATCGCGCATTTTTTGCTGGTTTGCCGGTGTTCGTGCTTTTGATTGTGTGAATGTGTTAGCTTGTGTGAGTAACTATGTTTGGTGTATGTGTTTGTAACTGTGTGTGTATACGTATACGTACGAATGTGAGTCAGTATATATGTATGTACGTATGTATGCGTGTATTTGTGTGTATATATATGTGTAAATTTATACATTGCAATAACAATGCATGTCTGTGATTTTTAACAAAAAGGCTCAGGCCTATCATTTCACAAAAGGTTCATTGACGCACTCAGTGACTCGTGTGCGACCACTTCGAACTGGATTTGATAGGGTTGACCTTTTTTTTAGACTTCACAGATTGTGTTGTTTCATGTGACAGTTGATTATTTAAAATCTTTGCTACTGACCTCCCCCCCATGCTAGGCAGGGGATGGCGGTAGCTTAGTTTTTGGGTCGTTAACTGTTACGCATTTTATTACTATGTGCATGCATGTGCATCACGATTCATGGCATTATATTAAATATTATGCATCCTATAGCATTATTTATGCATCATGCATCTATTTATCATGACCACAACATCATTTAATAGTAAAACATACTAATACAAACAGTACAGCATATCTTCATAAAACCACTGACAAAGGAAAATCACATAGTTTAATATACTGTGAACAGTATTCAAAACTACTCAACATTTTGGGAAGGGTATTGTAATTTACGAAATTTATTTTCATATTTTATAAAAAAACAAATATGAAAATAAATTTTGGCAAAATCGATCGTAAAGGGTTGCTTTGCAACCCAAAAAAAAAAGATGGTACATGTGAGTCTCTGTCACCACCAAGCTGCAATGCCATCGGTGAATTCACAGAATGCCTGCTTTGTAGTCTCACCTTCATCATGCTGACTTGACACCAGTTAGGGCTATGCACCCCGTGAGACACGCTTCTATGTGCCCCAAACATGATTCTGTGCCTCAACGGTTAATACCATCTGCGTCATAACTCGATTATACACATCATAACATAATCAACACTCTCTTCTCACCGTTGGCATCGTGGTTGAATTGACGCCATGTCTTGTTCGGAAACACCCCGTGGGTCATATATGACGCATTTTAATGTGACTGAACACACCGTTTACTCACCGTCGCCACGTCTGGTTGGGAAACACCCCGTGGGTCACATACGCGCTCACTTTCGCTGCTCCATGTGCTGCCAGGAGCCTCTGTGAGACAATGCAGTGCACGCAGGGGAAGCAAAGGCAGTTTGATGTTGGGACATAACTAAATCACTACATGTCATGCAGCGGCCGAATTTTTACGCGCCTTGAAATTTGACTTTTTGCAGTCCATATGCTGTCAGGAGGCTCTGTAAAACATGGGAAGCAGAAGCAATGAGATGAGGGTCATAATATACATCACTACATTGCATGTGCATGTGCTAGCCCCTAACGTCTCCCTTGTTGGCAAGTGTTCCCACCCGTTACGGTGATGCTTTCACCAACCACACAACTACCACCCCGCCTGGCACTCTGTGGGTGTCGATCCTGCCTGCACGCTGTGATGGGGTGCTACTTCCGAACCCTCCCTACCTTCCGTCGCTCTCACCTGGCACTCTGTGAGCGTTGATCCCGACTGCACCAACCAAGTCATCCACAACCACCACGTGCCACCCCTTCGGGTTGCCCTCCTTGAGCTGGTGTGTCGGAAGGTAGCCAGACTGTCATCACACCACGTTACCCTCCCACCTCACAATCTGCCCTACCTGTCACTCTAATCCCACCTGGCATTCAATGAGCGTCGATCCCGACTGCACCAGGTCATCCACGATCACCATGTGCCAGCCCTTGGGATTGCCCTCCTTCAGCTGCAGAAGTCGGCCACAATCACCGTGCGTGCATGTGCACACTGTCCCAGTGGGCAAATCCCTGGAATATCATCACCTGGCATAGCAACCCCACCTGCCATTCTAATTTCACCCCACCTGGCATTCTATGAGAGTCGATCCTGACTGCACAAGGTCATCCACGATCACCACGTGCCGCCCCTTGGGGTTGCCCTCCTTCAACTGCACGATCCGCTTCTCCCCCTCGCGCACCTTGGTGCAGATCACCTGGTGGGACAGAAGAAGAGGGGGATTGTGCAGGGCGGACAGAAGCGGCACAAACAGTGGGAACTCGAGCCAGCAGCAGTGCCTATACCCCCCTTCAGCTGCACGATGCACTTCTCCCCCTCGCGCACCTTGGTGCAGATCACCTGGTGGTACAGACAAGGGGGGGGATGGGCAACACAAGCAGGGAGCGGCACAAACAGAGAGTACTTTCACCAACACCAGTGCTCAGCAGAACAGCAGTACAAGACTGTATCGAATAAGCAGTGTAGCATGGGTTGCGAGAACAACACAACACGCTGGGAAGCGAACAGAATATCAAGCGGAAAGATCTTTTGAACATACCAGGTTTTGTACACAGCATGTTTTGCGTACCTCACTTTTGAGACGCCTCATAACTCCTGACCTGAGTGATAATGAGACGCACCATGGGGTAGTGCTGCAGTTGCTTGTGGAACCTCTTCCATGCACCTTCATCCGGGAATGCGATTGTTATCTGCTCACACATGGCGCATGGCATGAGGGGAGCATGGCGCATGGCATGAGGGGTGCATGGCGCATGGCATGAGGGGTGCATGGCGCATAGCATGAGGGGTGCATGGCGCATGGCATGAGGGGTGCATGGCGCATGGCATGAGGGGTGCATGGCGCATGGCATGAGGGGTGCATGGCGCATGGCATGAGGGGTGCATGGCGCATGGCATGAGGGGTGCATGGCGCATGGTATGAGGGGTGCATGGCGCATGGCATGAGGGGTGCATGGCACATGGCATGAGGGGAGCATGGCGCATGGCATGAGGGGAGCATGGCGCATGGCATGAGGGGTGCATGGCGCATGGCATGAGGGGTGCATGGCGCATAGCATGAGGGGTGCATGGCGCATGGCATGAGGGGTGCATGGCGCATGGCATGAGGGGTGCATGGCGCATGGCATGAGGGGTGCATGGCGCATGGCATGAGGGGTGCATGGCGCATGGCATGAGGGGTGCATGGCGCATGGCATGAGGGGTGCATGGCGCATGGCATGAGGGGTGCATGGCGCATGGCATGAGGGGTGCATGGCGCATGGCATGAGGGGTGCATGGCGCATGGCATGAGGGGTGCAAGGCGCATGTCATGAGGGGTGCATGGCGCATGGCATGAGGGGTGCATGGCGCACGGCATGAGGGGAGCATGGCGCATGGCATGAGGGGAGCATGGTGCATGGCATGAGGGGTGCATGGCGCATGGCATGAGGGGAGCATGGTGCATGGCATGAGGGGTGCATGGCGCATGGCATGAGGGGTGCATGGCGCATGGCATGAGGGGTGCATGGCGCATGGTATGAGGGGTGCATGGCGCATGGCATGAGGGGTGCATGGCACATGGCATGAGGGGAGCATGGCGCATGGCATGAGGGGAGCATGGCGCATGGCATGAGGGGTGCATGGCGCATGGCATGAGGGGTGCATGGCGCATGGCATGAGGGGTGCATGGCGCATGGCATGAGGGGTGCATGGCGCATGGCATGAGGGGTGCATGGCGCATGGCATGAGGGGTGCAAGGCGCATGTCATGAGGGGTGCATGGCGCATGGCATGAGGGGTGCATGGCGCACGGCATGAGGGGAGCATGGCGCATGGCATGAGGGGAGCATGGTGCATGGCATGAGGGGTGCATGACGCATGGCATGAGGGGTGCATGGCGCATGGCATGAGGGGTGCATGGCGCATGGCATGAGGGGTGCATGGCGCATGGCATGAGGGGAGCATGGCGCATGGCATGAGGGGAGCATGGCGCATGGCATGAGGGGTGCATGGCGCATGGCATGAGGGGAGCATGGCGCATGGCATGAGGGGTGCATGGCGCATGGCATGAGGGGAGCATGGCGCATGGCATGAGGGGTGCATGGCGCATGGCATGAGGGGTGCATGACGCATGGCATGAGGGGTGCATGGCGCATGGCATGAGGGGTGCATGGCGCATGGCATGAGGGGTGCATGGCGCATGGCATGAGGGGAGCATGGCGCATGGCATGAGGGGAGCATGGCGCATGGTATGAGGGGAGCATGGCGCATGGCATGAGGGGTGCATCCGAGTCCGGCAGTTGGTGCAGGCGGTGCTTCAGCAGCGGAATGCCGCTTTCAAAGCACGGCAGCACATTGTCTCCAAAGTAGAACCGCTCCTGGTGGGACGAGAAGGCGAGGTGGGGAGGGAAAGAGGAGGGGAAGGGGAGGGGAACGGGAGGGTGCGGAGAAGGGATGTATGTGAAAGGGAGGGTCAGTCCAAATGCTCCTTCAAAGGGAAGGCAGGGCCGAGTGCCACTCTTCAAAGCAGAGCCGCTCCCGATGGAAAGAGAACAGGAAAGGGGCTGCAGAGGGGGGGAAGGGAGGGAAAGGATGGAAGCGGGAGGTAAAGTCCCGGACAGATTGTCTCCCAAAAGAGTGCCGCTTTCAAAGCACAGCAGCACTCACTCAAGAGCGTCAGATGTCTGATCTGATCAAGAAAATTCTCAAAAGCAACCTGAAAACAAGCAAGAGGTGAGGCCCACCCCACCCCAGTACCCACCTGCAGCGCGTGAATGTCAAAGATGACAAGGCTGGCGGGCCCTCCAGCCTCGTCTGGGGTGTTGGTTTTGCTTACCTACCCGCCTAGTACCTGCCCATCCCAGACTTACCCACCTCAGTAGTACCCACCTGCAGCGCGTGAATGTCAAAGATCACGAGGCTGGTGGGGCCCCCAACCCGGTACCTACCCACCCCGAAAGTACCTACCTTCCACCGCAGTGCCTACTGCCAAAGAGTACCTGCAGCGTTGGTGCCCACCTGCAGCGCGTGAATGTCAAAGCCCACGAGACTGGTGGGCCCTCCGCGAGAGATGGGGATGTTGGAGAGGATCCGTGATAGATTGAATGTCCCTACCCACCCCAGAAGTACCTACCTCCCTCCCCAATGCCTACTGCTGCCCAATGGCACCTGCAGCGCTAGTACCCACCAATCTGCAGCGCATGAATGTCAAAGATGACATTCACGCGCCTACCCACCCCAGTGCCTACTGCCTAATCCACGCGAGATGGGAATGTTGGAGAGGATCCGGGAGAGACTGATGTTGTTGCCCACGTGCCGACAAGGAGACAAGGTGTCCCCAGTGCCTAGTGCCTACCCATCCCACCAGTGCCTAGTGCCTACCCATCCCACCAGTGCCTAGTGCCTACCCATCCCACCAGTGCCTAGTGCCTACCCATCCCACCAGTGCCTAGTGCCTACCCATCCCACCAGTGCCTAGTGCCTACCCATCCCACCAGTGCCTAGTGCCTACCCATCCCACCAGTGCCTAGTGCCTACCCATCCCACCAGTGCCTAGTGCCTGCCCATCCCACCAGTGCCTAGTGCCTACCCATCCCACCAGTGCCTAGTGCCTGCCCGTCCCACCAGTGCCCGGCGGTACCGCACCTGCAGCGCATGGATGTCAAAGATCACGAGGCTAGTGGGCCCCCCTCGTGAGATGGGGATGTTGGAGAGGATCCGCGAGAGAGTAAATGCTGTCGCCACATCCCCCTCGTCCTCCATTCGCTCACTGCAGAGAAAATGGCAAGGGGGAAGGAGGGGGGTTGGGGTTTGTGGGGAGGGCAGGGAGGGAAGGGAGGGAGGGAGGAGGAGCAGTGGAAATGAAATGAAACGAGCGAGGGAGGGCAGGATAGGAATGCATGAAATCACGCCATTGGTTGAAAGATGATCAGGGTTGCTTGACATGCTCACCCCGTAGAATGCTCACTGAACGTTCACTGAATATTCGTTAAGAGCTCACCTGGTGCCAGTGGGGAAGAAGGGCAGGACCAGAGTGAACGACTCGACGAACATCCGCCCGATGGCGGATGGCCAGCAAACACACGATAGGCATTAGCAAGCAGACTAATGCCGACCTAGACAAATGATGGACAGCTGCTCGAAGATGGCTTTCTCACCGAAACTTCACTCGTTCACCTGATGCTTCACCCGGTGCTAGTTGGGAACATTCACTGAATCTTCAACTGGTCCCAGTCGGGAAGAAGGGCAAGACGAGAGTGAACGACTCGACGAACATCCTAGGGATGGCGTAGATGATGGACAGCTGCTCGAAGATGGCTTGACCTGACGCAAGTAGGGAACATTCAATGAATGTTCTCACCTGGTTCCGGTCGGGAAGAAAGGTAGGACGAGAGTGAAAGACTCGACGAACATCCTAGGGATGGCATAGATGATGGACAGCTGCTCGAAGATGACAGCTGGTGAGCTGAACGACGCCAGGAACGCCACGTGGCGGCCCCTGATTCCATGCGCGTTCGGCACAAAGAGGTTCGGGAAGCCATCCTCGAACTTGCTGAGGAAAGGGGGGAGGGGGATGGGGTGGGGAGGGGGAGAGGAGGGGGGAAGGGGAGAGGAGGGAGGGAAGATTCGAGGGGGAGGGAGGAAAAAGGGGACGGGTTTGGCACAAAGAGGTTCGGAAACCCGTCCTCAAACTTTCAGAAAAAAAAGGGGTTGATCACTGGAAAGAGCGGAGGAGGGAGGGAACACATCAAGTGAAGGGAGGCAAAGAGGGGGAGGAGAGGGGATTAAGGGGGAGGAGGGGTTGGGTGAGAGTGAAGGGAAAGGGGAAGGCATTCAAGAGGGAGGGGAGGGGAAGGGGAAACGAGAGGAGACAAATAGCGTGCGGGGCTAGAAGATTCGCTTCTAGAGAATGACGCGCGTGAGACTTGAGACTGTAACTCACACCCGCGCCGCCACTCACCCCCATTCGATAGGCTTCAGCTCGATATTATCCAGGTCCTCCGCGATACTCGCCGCGAGTTCCGCCATCTCGCTACAGTAGAACAGGCACACCTGCTTCTTGGACGGCCGGTCCAGAATATGACAAACCTGGCCGTCCACCAGATCTTCCATCATCAAATCGTATCTCGACGACAGTCGCCCGTTCACGGATCCCCCCCGTTTTGTCCTACTCGCGGTGCCATTTGCTGCGCCGTTGGCGGGCGGGGCTTCCGCCAGTCGGCCCATGACCGCGGCTGCGCGTGCCAACGCGGGGGGCGCGCGGAGAGGGCTTCCGCTTCCGCTTCCGCGCTGTCGGGGGAACCTTCCCCGCGTTTGATATTCTCTCACTCCCGCACGCCGCGATCCGGGAAAGCCTCCCATTCGCGATAACAGCGGCTCCGCTACACGGCATTCTACGGCTGCGATGCGATTCGCAGAAGCCGGGAGCGGAAGTCGGGGGGACGGGAGGACGCTGCCGCTTTGGGTGTGTAATCGGTGAGAAAGATTTGTTTGCGAGGACGAGCGAAGTGCATGTGCGAGATCGGCGGCGATTGTGCCGGCTGCCATGGCTGCTAACCGACTGGCCGGGTTCAGATGCAAGACGGGAGCCAGCTCACACCGTGTGACTGGGTTCGGTGGAAATGGCGAGTGGGGATGGTATTTTGAGACACACTGACAGGGTTGGCAGCTGGGAAATGTAATAGTTGAATCTTTTGGAAGAAGGAAAGAAACCAAGGAGCAAATGCGATCGATATTAGCACGCCGTTGAAAGCGGCAGCAGGAGCGGCTAGTAAGGCTCAAGCGAGGATTGAACGAACACTGATCAGTTGCTGGCTGCTAGCCGCTAGCCATGATCGGAGTAACGAAAGAGAGCCCGAGTCCCAAATTGCGAGGCGCGTGGGTCATGCTTTTAAAACTTGACGAAGTGCAGTGTGCAAGCTTTGAAAAGTAGCGCACCTGCAATTTGGGACTTTCGGGTGCTGACACAACCCCCAGGGCGAAATACGTGGGCTGGCTGGGTTTGGCGAAAAAAACGAAATGCCCGAAATCGGAATCACTCGCCAAAACCCAAACCAGGAAAAACCCCTCGCGTCATCCTTTTAAAACTTGTGCAATTTGGGCTTCCGGCTTTAAGGTTCTGTGGCTACTTGTCTGGACTTCAAGAGCGGAGAATGAAAGGGTAACGCAGTAACGAGACAGGAAACTGGCCGAGATCTTTTTCGCCATGAGCTTCGCGCTAGAGCCTGCATTTCAAGGCTCGTTCAGCTCGGGAATATATCATTTGCCACGCCAAGCCAGATTAGCCAAACATCAAACGCCAGGTGGGCGTTTAGTTGGTTTGGACAAGCCGAGCTTCCACACAAGACGCGGCATGGGCAACAAAAACAGGCCTGACCAACACGAAGACGCTTGGTAATGATGCCGAACCAAGAAGTCAGGTCTCAACAATCACCTTAACCAATCGCAGTGCGCCACCACCGCCGCTTCGCCTCGCACTCGGAGCCGCACAGCAGCCACCACCTCCACCTCCACATTTTGAAGCAACTAGGGCGTGTACCAGCGGCTTTCTACATAGGATTTAGATTTAGTTCTGCTTTCTGTTACAAGTACAATGAAATGAAACGAGATAGGATTCCACTAAACGGGCAAGAAGATTACAATGTGAGCAAAGACATGAGCGAACATTTATAACGAAACATGCAAACGGTATCGCGGACTTGCAAGCTAGTTAGTGCAACACTGGCATCTAGGTTCGGGCGTAGGTCGACTCAACCGCGTACAGAAGCGCGCAGAAAGAAATCCTGGAAAAGAACTTCCATACATTACCCTCATCCTCAAGAAGCCTTCCACTTATGTCAAACGTCGCGGAATCCTCGGATCCTGCAATACTCTCTCAAAGTAGGAATGTTGCGGAATGATGAGATTAGGAATGTGTGTGATACAAATAGGCAACCCTAACTGAGTTGTACTCACTAAGGAGCACCTCACTACAGCCTATCACAAATATCAACATTTGACACACCCCCATAGGCTAAGTGAGGGGCATCAAAGCAAGCAGGGTGAACAAACGGTCACAAGACCAGTCAATGCTGTTAGAATTTGAAATGATTGAGTAGGATCGTAATACTTAGGATGGTAGCTTCCTGTCGTAGCGGAAGTCTTGTATGAGTTAAAGCCAGTTATAGAAGGCTTTGTCTGGACTAATAAAAGCCCATGTAGTGATATGTTTCAGGATCAATGTCTCTGAAATCAGATATTTTATAAAATGACAAGCATACAGAATATATAGCTAGAGTAAAGTACCTGTTCGCCTACTGTACTGTATTATTCACGCTATTCCTGTTCTGAAACGGTACGTGACTATTTGCGAGGCCTATAGCTACGTGCTGACGTCATCCTAGGGCGCGTAGCACTTTGCTGACGTCAGCCTATCGGTACTTTACTATTACGTGCGAGGTCTCGCACTGTACTGCACGAATTCCCTGAAGTGCTTAAGTCTCCATATTATCTCAACACTCCCCTTCACTTCTAGGAGTTCGGTGTAGTTACCCGGTTGTTTCAGAAACGCCGCTGAGCTGGTTGCAGTGGTGAAACTTCTGTCGTGTCAGTTTCTTGGTAAGTGAGTCAGCTGCCATGTCACCAGTGGGACAGTAGACAAGGCGCATTCTCCCCTTATCGATCGCATCCTTGACAAAGAAGTAACGCAGTGAAATATGTTTCGTGCGATTGACGAAGCCGGGCTTGTTGGCGATAGTAATCGCACTCTGGTTGTCGCACTGCAACGTAAACTGATTTGGCGTGACGAACTTTGTGTCAAACTTATATATGCTATAGTCTGTTTAGGCTGTAGTGGTCCTTAGAGGGTACAACACTTTTGTGTTTTCTACTTGTACCCCACCTGTTTCCTAGTTCCATCATTCCTCTGATTATTCTCACATGGTATAGAGCAGGTTCCCTAGTGGAACTGTTTTTCAGGGCCCACCACTAAGATTTTTTTTTTTTTTCCTTACCTGCCCGAAGCGCGTTTCGCGTTTGCCCTAGCAGCGCCCCGTGCGCCTGCCCTTAGCGGCCCTTCGCGGCCTTTCGCGGCCTTTGCGGCCCCTTAGCGGCCCTTTTCGGCCCCCCTTCGCGGCCCCCTTTTGCGGCCCTTCGCGGCCCCTCGCGGCCCTTCGCGGCCCCTTAACGGCCCTTCGCGGCCCCCTTCGCGGCCCCCTTTCGCGGCCCTTCGTGGCCCCTTGCGCGGCCCTTCGAGGCCTCTTCGTGGCCCTTCGCGGCCATTCGCGGCCCCCTCACGGCCAGTCGCGGCCCCCCTCACGGCCATTCGCGGCCCCCTTTGCCGCCCGTCGCCGCCCGTCGCAGACCCGTCGCCGGCCCATTGCCGCCCGTTGCCGCCAGTCGCCGGCCAGTCGCCGGCCCGTTGCCGGCCGTCGCCGGCCCGCCGCCGCCCGTAGCCGGCCCGTCGCCAGCCCGTTGCCGCCCGTTGCTGGCCCGTCACTGGCCTGTCGCGGCCCTGCCTACACCGCACGAAGCGGCCCTGCCCCCTGCTGCTGCCCCAGTTGCGGCCCTGTCTGCACCCGCCCCTGGTAAGCACCCGCGCCGCCAGGAGCCGAGCCGCACCGCCCGGCCGAGCCGCGCCGCCCAGCCGAGCCGCGCCGCCCCACCGCGCCGCCCTGCCCTACCGAGCTGCACTGCTGTGCACTGCCCTACTGCCTCTACTCCTACTGCTGTTTTTGCTGCTACTGCTGCTACTCTTGCTACTGCTCCTACTGCTGCTATGGCTAGTCCTACCGTTCTTACCTTTGACGCTGAGGGACGTGCGGTTGACTTTGACGTGTGGGTTGACGACCTCCAGCTCTTTCTTCAGTGTGATTCAAGGGATGGGGTGTCCCTTTTTTATCACACGTCCGGTGTTTCTACTGCTCCTACTGCCACTGCTGACAGTACGGTTCGCTCGCAGTGGACCACTCGTGACGCTGTTGCTCGTCTTGCTGTTCGTAGTCACCTGCCGCTTGCTGAGCGCGCGCATTTTGGCCAGTACAAGACTGCTCAGTCTTTGTACGACGCTGTAGTTGCGCGCTACTCCTCCCCTGCCACTGCTGCCCTCAGCCGCCTCATGCTGCCGTACCTTTTCCCTGACCTTGCTGCCTTTGCCACAGTCGCTGACCTAGTTGCTCACCTTCGCACTAGTAACGCCCGCTACCGCGCTGCCCTTCCCACTGAGTTCTGTGCCAAGAACCCCCCCCCCATGTACATCACCCTTTACTACCTAGTCACCCGCCTCCCTGACTCACTTTCTTCAGTCAGGGACCACTTTCTCTCCCTTTGCCCCACCGAGCTGACTATCGACCTGCTAGAGGAGCGCCTTACTGCAGCTGAGAAGAGTATCTTAGCTGTAGGTGCTTCTCGCGGCGACCGTCGCACCCCTTTCTTTGAGGGGTGTTCCCCTGACCCCCTTCTCCCCTCGGTTGCTTCTGCTGCTGCTGTCGACCTCGTTGGCACTGAGGAGGTTGGAGCTACGTCTGCCCCTAGTGGGAGACACCGCAACAGCAGGGGCAAGGGGAGCAAGGGTGGTGGAGGGGGCGGCGGGGGGGGTGGTGGAGGGGGCGGCGGGGGGGGTGGTGGAGGAGGTGGAGGAGGCGGAGGGGGTGGCGGTGGAGGTGGGGGTGGTACCGGGAGTGGGGGCTTCAGTGGCGGCGGTGGAGGTAGTGGAGGCAGCGACGGAGGTGGAGGAGGCAGCAGCAGCAGTGGTGGAGGTGGCGGCGGTGGTGGTGCTGGTCGAGGTGCAGCCGCACAGCATGGAGGCTTTGGTGGTAGCCAGCGCCAGCAGCAGCCGCGCTCCCGTGAGACTCCGTCGGTCCAGCAGCTTCGTGAGTGGTACGCTGGGCGTGGGAGGTCTGGGGGTGCTGGTCCCTGCACTTACGTTCTTCGCTCCGGCACTCGTAGTGGGGAGGTGTGTGGGCTTCCACACACTACGCAGCGCTGCTTCAGTCGCTTGACTGACGCCTGGCGTGCCCAGTTTCCTGACGTCGTTGAGCTCCCTCGCTGGCATGATCTGCTTCTGCAGAATGTGCCTATCTTTGATCTTGATTTCGATGCTATCCTTGCTGCCATGTATGCTATTGCTGATAGTGCTGAGGGTGACTGTTACCTGCGTGTCCCGCCCAACCCGGGCATTGCTGCTGCTGCTCTAGGTGCTAGTGCGTCTGCTGCTCCAAGTGCTGGTGCGTCTGCTGCTCCAGGTGCTG